AAAAATGATACAATGTAATGAACTAAACAAAAAAATATATATATCTAATATTGATCATATAAATGATTTATATAATATATATAATTATAATAGCTATATACAAAACAAAACAGATTCATCATCTAACTCATCAGATTTTTTTAATAATATACATTCCTTTATTAAATGTAAGACATCAAAAATATTAAGAAATCATTCAAGCTTTTTTTTCTATAAAAATTATGAACATTATATTCAATATATTGTAAACAAAGAAAAATTAAAACACTTACCATTATATTATAAAGATTCATCTTTTTATCTTTTTAATAATAACAATATAAAAAATATCATACTTTATAGAAAACAAATGATTCATGAACTTATTAAAATGTGTACATCTCAAGAAAATCAAGAAGAATCAAATTTTCATTTTATTGATAAAAATATTTTACACAAAATATTATTTACTAATAATAAATTCTTTATTCAGATAGATAAAATAATAAATACTAATATACACCAAAATGAACAACAAAAAAATTATACATGTCATTTAGGAACGAATACATTAAAGGAAGAACAATTAAATATTGACGAGTTATATAACTTTATAATGTTAAGTTTTTATGAATATTATAATAAATGTGGTAATAATAATAATAATAATGATAATAATAATGATGATAATAATAATGATAATAATAATAATGATAATAATAATAATAATAATAATAATGATGATGATAATAACCATGATAATCATAATAATGATAATCATAATAATAATATATCATGTCGTAAAAATATTAATATAAATGAATATTATAATGAATCCTTTGAAAAACTAAAAGAACGTATTAAAAATACAATAAACTGTGTAGCATATAATAATTCCATATTTAATTCTTTTGAAAATATTTTTAATTACAATTTTGTAATGCATATATATTCTTATGTTTGTACTCATGCCATAAAAATGAAATCACCTTTAAATTTATATTCTTCAAATAATGATACAATAAATTGTATAGAAAATAAAATGAACAAAAATACCCATACACAAAATAATCAAAATATCTATAAACTTAAAGACAATATTATAAACAGTAGTATAAAAATTAAAGATGAAGAAAAAACTATTGAAGAATTATATATAAAAGAATGTTCTGATTTTAATTTTAACGAATATGAACAGAAAGAAAAACAAATCGAAAACAATAATAAAAATATGTGCCTAATACCAATTATAGATGTATGCAATCATAGTAGTCTTTCTAATAATTCAACCATAAATAAAGAAGAACTCGGTGTGCAACATCAAAATGTACATAATAAAATTTGTCAACATAATTATGATTATTTAAAAAATATAGAACAATATCAATATATCGAAAAAATAAATGATAATGTTAAAAATATTATGAATCACGAAAATTCCGTATCTCTTGATAGTGAAGAAAAAAAAAAAAAAAAAAAAAAAAAATGTATTGATAGCAATGATACTATTGATAATAATGGTGCTATTTATAATAATCATACTATTGATAATAATCATACTATTGTTAATAATCATACTATTGATAATAATCATACTATTGTTAATAATCATACTATTGTTAATAATAACACCATTAATAATAATCAACCCAATAATATTAGTCACACCAATAATATTAATAATACCATTCATAATAATGAGAACCCCCTTTTAATACCCACTTCCATTATACAAAATATCCAAAGTGTTCATTTGGTGAGCTCAAGAAACATCGAAGAAGGTGAAGAAATCACCTTAACCTATGGAAATGTTAACAACGATCTTTTATTATTAGAATACGGTTTTATTGAAAAGGAAAAAGAAACGAAAGTGTACTTTAATTTTGATATAAAAATCATAAGGGAAATTATTATACAAATATTAGCAGTTGATAAGCTTCCTTTAATTATGTTAGATAGCTTAGAACAAGTAAAAGTGAACTTATTTAAACAACTGAATATTATTGATGATAATCAAAGTGTATATCAACGATTTGATACAACAAATTTGGAAAGTGCACATATTACAAGAAAAAAAAAAGAAATTTTTAATGATTATCTAAGGAAAAATAAATATTTTAATGAATATAATATATTTACCATGAAAGATCGCATTAATAAATTTTTTATTGATGAAAAATTACAACATGATTCTAGAAAAAAAAATAAAAAAAATTATCTTTATATTGGTTCTCATCATATTGTTGATCCTGTTTTATTAGCTACAATAAGAATAATTATATATGATGATATAAATCACCTTTCTAAAGTAAACATAAAAAAATTAACTTCATGGGATTATTATTTATCTATAGATTCTGAAATGGTCGTTATACAAATATTAATAAAATTAATAGATGAAATTATTTATGAACACTTTTCTCATATTAATTATGAATATATATTAAAACAAGGTTTTATAAAATATGAGGACTTAAAATTTCTACACAATAAATTCTTACAAATCAATATGTTACACTCTCATAAATCTATAAACCTATTACAATATAATAATTTTTTTATAACTATATATAATATTCTTAAAATTAAGGAATTAAAAAATGCTAAACATAAACTTAATCAAAAATTTAACCATATCAAACATCTTTTTAACGAAAAAAACAAAAATATAATAAAATAAAAACATATTTATTTTTTTTTTATTTTTTTTTTTTTATCATCTATGTTTTCCCTTGTTTACAATTTAATTACACGCAAGGTAATCCATGGTATATATAAATATAATAGCTTTCATGCTTATCCAATATATTGAATATATACATATATATAGATATATATTATATTGGATTGTTAACTTTTTTTACTTATTTTAATTTTATTTTATTATTTTAATATTTTATTATTATTTTTTTATTTTTTTTGTTTAATTTTTTTTTAAATAAATATTCTCATAAAAAAAAAAAAAAAAATATACATATATACATATATATATATATATATATATATATATATATATATATATATATTATCTTCCTGACCTTTATTCTTTATTTTATTCTCCATCAACTATTTTGAAAAAAAAACCTTTAAGAAATATCAATTCATTCTCATATTAAATATGATGAATGACATAGTTTTAATTAACAAAAAAAAAACTCCAAGTGAAGAAAAAGATATTGATAAAAATGATGAAATAAAATTGAGAATTTATGGATGTCAGTTATTACAAGAAGCTGGCATTATTTTAAAATTAAAAGCAGTAACTATTGTAACAAGCCAAGTTTTGTTTCATCGTTTTTATTTTAAAAAGTCCTTTACTGATTTCGACGTTAATGTAAAATAAATAAATAAATAAATAAATAAATAAATATATAAATAAATATATATATTATTGATGAATAAAATATCATATCTATTTAAGTATATATATGTTGTGTGTATTATATATGCATATTCCTTCTACCCTTCATTTTGTAGATTATTGCTCCTTCGGCATTATATTTATCGTGCAAACTGGAAGAAGATTTTTGTCGTATTTACAAAATCATTAATACTTTTCATTTTTTATGTAAATATGAGCATATAAAAAGTAAACACATTTATTTTGATATAAAAAATTTGAACATGGAACATTTCAGAATAAATATTGAATCAGAGGTAATAAAATATATATATATATATATATATATATCAATAATATTGTATATATATATATATATATTTTTTTTGTAGGAATATAAAAAAATGAAAGTAGATATATATACATATGAGCTCCTCATACTAAAAGAAATAGGATTTCTTGTTCATAAAATAAACCAGCATCCTCACTCATTTCTTTTACCATATATTTATTCCCTCTTTAACAATTTAAATACAATTCATAAGGATTTAACAAAAAAATTAGCACAAATGTCTTGGGGATTTTTAAATGACAGGTTAAAAAAAGCTCACAATTATAACATCCTACATTTTGAAATAATAATTTATTTTTGCTATTTCTAATAAATATCTTATATAAAATATGCTCAGTTGAATATATACATATATATATATATATATATATATATATTTTTATAGTATGAGAACAACCTTATGTTGTGAATATCAACCACGGTGCATAGCTGTTGCAAGTATATTCTTAGCTGCATATAAACTTAATATTCCTTTAATGAAAGTATGTAACGAAATAAATTAATAAATAAATAAATAAATAAATAAATATATATATATATATATATATATATATATATATATATATATATTTATTTATTTATTTATTTATGTGTTCGTCTTATATTAACAAATGTTTAATATTTTATTATATATTTATTTAATTTTTTTTTTTTTTTTTAGAATACCAATTGGTTTAAATTATTTGACGTAGATTATGAAGACATCAAGAAAATATGCATTAGAATATTGGAGCTTTACAAAATAGGTATAAAAATACATATATATACACATATATATTCATATTTATGGACGTGGTTATATTTAATTTCCTTTTTCATGTTTACCTAATTCTTTTATTTTCTTTCCTTTTACAATAGGACGATGCCATTACATAGACGTCGTGGTTAAAAAAAAATAAATAATATAATATTCATCACATATATGTGTAAATTTATATACACAATTTATTTTGTTTATTATTATTATTATTATTATTTATTTATTTTTTTTTTTTTTTTGTTATTTTTTAATATAAAAATATATAATTAATTCTTTCCTATCTTTTACTTTATTTTACATTACTTTCTTTTTTTTTTTTTTTGTACTATTTTCAAGTTGAATATATACATAATATATAATAACTAAACCCTGTTTATTAGTCAATATATACTTTTAAAAAAAATAACTTTACAATTTTTTATATATTTCAACAATAAAAAAAATTAACATGAACAAAGCTGACTTGTTCATGTAAAAAAAGAAAAATAATAAAATAAATAAATAAATATATAAATATATATATATTCTTATTTTAATTATTGTCATTATTTTTTTAAATAAAAGAGAAT